GGAATGCAGAGCAGGGGGCTGCGTCCCGCGAGGCTGCGATGCGCCTCACTGAGGCTGCTGCAGGGCAGTTGTGCATGCGACCGCGTGCAGCCATCCATCGCTGCGCGTCAAGTGCAGCCGGGCTCCCGCCCCTACCCGTCTGCCCTCACTGCGTGCGCGCGCACCTCCCGGGGGCCGTTCTCCTTCGCCTCCAGAGGGGTGGCGTAGCCGGGGCCCTTGCAGCACGCGGCAGGCATGGCGGCGGGTTGGCAGATAAACGGCTGTGTGGGAACGAGGGAAAAGGGGGAGCCAGGGGGGCAAAAGGGGGAGCAGTTGAACGCTTGCTTGCGTGGTGCTTGTAGGCATGGGCGCAACGCAGCTGACATGACAGCCCTGGACGAGACTGCAAGCCGCCGCCAGGGGGAGCCAGCGCCAGTTGCTGTTTGCCATGTGGCAGCCGTTTGGCCGTGAAAACAGCATGATGGCCCTCCTCCAACCACATGTACAGCATGGGCTGCCGCGCAAATTCAAGCTCCGGGGTGCCGACATAACGACACCTCCTCCGCCTCGAGCACGTGACTCCGGACGCCAGCCATCATGGCGTCATGCGCGTCGGCCAAAGGGCGACGCCGCGCATCCGACTGTTCCTGCCGTTGTGCTTGCCCAGCGATCTAGGCTGGACGCAGCTAGCTCACCTGGAGGAGTGTGGAGCGGCGGCCACGCTGAGGAGAGAGCTCTGGCAGGGTCACGTCAGATACGCGCAGTGCCGGAAATCGATGCGAGTAATGAAGCCAACTTCACATGTGTAAACCAAGGTTCTTCAACCGTTCATAGCTCGCGAACACGTATGTATTTGTCACCAAGAGCGTCCCGGAGTGATCTGAAAGAGGCGCCGGCGCGCTTCATCCCCGTATCATAATCGCAGTCATCATGTTGTCACAGCGCGCGGTCCCGGGTGCGCAGTGGCGGCATCCCCACCGCCCCGCCGCAGTGACGACCGCTGTAGCCGCTTGTTTGAGCGGGTGTGTGCGCTGCAAGGGTTGTGCTGCAAAGCCCACTGATCGGCAGGACGCGGCCGCCAGAGACGCCACAGCAACACCCATGGCGTGGGCGGCGCTCGCCATCCGCACCGCTGCTGTGGCGGGCCTTGTCGCAGTGGTCGCTGCGGGCCCTTCGCAGGCCGCCCCCCTGCGGCCACAGGCACCGCATGCTGCCGTGACTGAGCCGTTGCAGGCGAGGTGAGCCACGACGCGGGCCTGCTTTGGGAGCAGCCAGCAGCGACGCTAGTAGCTGATGTCACACCCACGTGCGGTTGCACCCTGTGCGCCACCTCGCACCGCACTGCTGACATGGCCGCCCTGCCGTTTCCACCCTCGTTCACCAGGGCTGTTCGCAGGCACCCCCTGGGCCGCCTGGGATCTGTAATAATGGCCCCTGCCAGCGCTCTGGTGGGTTTGGGAGGGCGCCCGCCCGCATTCCCAGGATCCCTGCTCGGGGTGTCACGACACAAGCGGCAGTCCGGCCGGGTCGCGCCGCCCCAAGCGGTGCATCTCAAAGGACCACCACGGGCCTGGGGTTGCAGCCGCCGCCGCGTCCTGCACCCTGCCAACACCGTCATCACCGCCACATAAGTGCGGCCGTAAATCCTGCCGTTTGTCCCGCCCGCATTTCAATTGCAGGACGCGCTGCTGTTCCCTGACGCACACGCTGTCAGGTGCGGCGCGCGTATGTGTATGGGTTTGTTGATGTCCGCAACTCACAAACAAGGCGACGCCTGCATGCTTCATTGCCTTGTTGTGCGGAGCTCTTCTCCACCGTTGCCCGCTCACACCCGCCCATGGGCCCCCCTCCAACGCGCTCTCCCGACCCGGCCGACAGTGTCTTGCCCTCTGTCCAGGCAGCGCCGGTAGCCAGGGGCGCAGTGCCTGCCGCAAATGAGCCCCGCGCCGCGCTGTCAAGCCTCGCGCGCATCGTGGCACCCAGTGTTGGCGGTGCACCGGCTGTCGTGCCACCTGGCGCTGCCTCTAGCCGCCCCCTGGCGCTGCTGCAGTGCTCTGAGGCGCTCACAGTGGTGGCTGTTTTCGTCGCGGTGGCGTGGCTGGCGGCGTGCTTCTCGCCCCTGGGGTCCAAAAAGGGTGGGCGTAACAGCGGGCTTGTCCAGGGCAAGTGGGGTGGCGTGCAAGGCGGCGCCGGGCTGCGGCAAGGGAAGGGGGGTGGTGACCGTGATGGGAGTCAAAGGTCCAGGAGCCAGCCTTGCATACCACCCACTGTCACCAAGAATTCACACCGGCCCCTCTGTGGCCCCACCACAGACAAGGCCCATGCCGCCGCCACCGCCACCCCGCAAGGAGCGCCCCCTGCAACCGGGCGTGGTGGCAGCCAGGACGGCCCGGCGAGCCGCAGCTGCGGGGAGGATGCCGCTGCGGGCCGCAGCGAGGCGCGCCTGGCAGCGTCTGCAGTGGAGGAGGCCCTCATGGCGGGGCGCTACGCGGGGCTGGCAGCGGCATGCGCCCGCCAGGCCGCATCCGCACACGCCGGGCTGCGCGCCTCCCTTGCACCCGGCGGCGCTCCCGGCGAAGCCGCCGCGGCTGCCGCATGGCCCGGGCTGCCGGCGCCCCCCGAGGCGCTGGCGGCGGCGGGGGCGGTGGCGGCCGTGGCGGCGAAGCGAGCCGCGGGCGCCGCGAGGCGCGCTGCATCTTCGGCGGCAGAGGCGGGGGAGGAGGCGGGCGGCGCGAGCATGGCCATACGCGCCATTGGCGCTCTGCCGCCGCGCCGCGGCCAGGCCCCGCCGTCTTCCCACGCCCTGCCCCCTGACGCCCCAGCCGCTGCCTTCGCTGCTGTTGCCCCAACGGCCGCCTCGACGGGCGCAAGCCCGATTCTCCCGGCGCTGAAGCCCGTGTCTCCGCTGGCTCAGGCCCTGGACGCGGCCTACGCAGCGCAGCAGCGCGGCGCCGCAGCAGAGGCGGTGGCGCGACAGCTGGCCCTCAATAGGAGCGCCCTGCTGGGCATTACTGCCCCCGCAGCACCCAGGGCCGCCGCAAATACCGCCGCCGCCCCTGTCCCTGCCCCTGTGCCGGCCCCCCGGGACGGTGGCGGGTTGTCGGGTGTGAGCGACGCGGCCCTGGCCCTGGCGCTGCTAGGGCAGGCGGAGGCGTACGATGCCGATTTCAGGGGGTGCCGGCCCACAGCAGCCGTCGCAGAGCGGCCGGCTGCGGTGCCGGCGGAGTGGCTGGCGCAGCCGGTGCCTGAGAAGCGTGCGGTGCTGGCAGAGGCGGCGCGCCGGGCGCACGGCAGGCTCGCGGCGCTGCACAGCGCCCTGGCTGGGCCTGCGGCTGGGGGCTGCGACCAGGGTGACGGGCAGGAGCAGCAGGGCAGCCCTCCGACTGCGAAGCCTGGGGAGACAGGAGCAGAGCCCCGTGCCGAGGCTGAGGGCGCAGCCGACACGATGGCGGCGTCAAGCACCGTTGCTGGCGCTCGTCGTGCCGCCGCAGCGGCGGTGCGCAGCGCCGCCGCAGCAACCGTGTGCCGTGGCACAGAGCCGGGGTGGCAGCAGCCTGCGGCTGAGCTGGCCGGTGCGGTGGAGGGTGGCATGGACAGTGTTGGGCTGGGGCTGCCGCGCGCCAGACAGGCGCCGGAGGTGCTGCGCACATTGGACGGCACGTGCAGCTGTGAGTGAGCTTTCGCTGGCACGCGGCGGCTCACGCTCCGCGGCATTCCGGATGGTAGTTGTTGCGCAGAATTGTGCGTGATCTGGGGCAAGGGCAGGACTCGGGCAGAGCAGCCGGCTCTGGCACGTTCATTCCACTCCCCCCCCCCCTGCCTGCTGAGCGAGTCCTTGCCTGCCCGGCTCATTTCTTGTTGATCCTACTGGGCGGGTCAAGAGTCATGTTGACTAGCTGTTGATCAGTGTTGACCAACGTGTGCCCCCGGTGCCGCGTGCCGCACACCTTCCATGGTGTGCGTGGGCGCCGGACAAGACTTGTTGCACTGCCGCCGTTCCGCGCCGACACCCGCCCATATTGACCCCCTGAGTGCACACAAGCCCTGCAACCACCGCGCCCGACTGCCACCGCCCACCAGTGCCCAAACCCGGTTCTCTATGGGTGAGTGTGCAAGCCGCCATTTCCAAGACTGTTCAGCGATGTCAATAAAAGGGGTTGGCCCTATGTGAGTCACACACCGGACCTTTTGCGTCGGCAGCAGCCTCCGCGCCATACCCTTCTTGTACTGCCCTCTTGTTGTACAACACGGCCCGCATTGGTGCGTGCACCAGCCAGCTTGCACCCCACTGCCAGGCCCTTGCCTCTCAAGGCCGCCTTTCGTTGTCGGTCGCCATTGCCGTGCCCGTACCGCACCTCTTGCCCCCTCCCTCAAATTGCCTACCATTCCCCCTCCTAACTCCTGTCCCAAGCTCCTGTGGCTGTTGGACAATGGCTTCAAATGCATGCCAGGCTGCTGTTGGGTCGCGCCATGTGTATGCTTTGCAATTGTCGGCCCGTGTGTGGGTTGTTTGCAGCTGACCAGCACTCTAAGCGAGGGCGCGGCCTTGCCTGTGGCGGTTGTTAACACTCGTGTAGATCAGGACTAACAATTTGCACTGACAGCAGTGTCAGGCGCATGCCCCTCCTGCAGGGACATGCTCCGCAATGAAACAGGGGCGGCCGTGCGGGCCGGGGGCTTGTGTGGGCCTCAGTAATCGTGGATGTCCAGTATTCACAAGCTCGATGCACAGTGGGCACCAGGTGCGCCGGCGGGCCAGGACCCACACAAGTCGGCTGCATTGTGGGTGGCAGGGCTGCGTGTGACGTGACCTCTGGGAGTGTCGCCCGCAACATCACAAAAAGAATGCAGAGCCGTTGCGATGGCAGTGGTGGCCATGCATTGTGAGGGGCCTGCCGGGGTGACCTGTGCGTGTCCGCAGTGTCAGGCCATGATGGCCCCTCTGGCTGTGCCTGGCTCATGCGGCTGCCACGAGTGTGCCGGTACAGTTTGTATTGTGGCGGTGGCCAATCGTCGCGCTGTGAGGCAACAGGACCGGAAAATCCCTGAAATAACTGAAGGCTAGCCCTGGCAAACCGCCCGGGCAGCAGGCCAATTGCAACGGCCAGGCTCATCGACGCAGTGCGTGCTCAGCTAACGAGATTGGCGCCCATGCTCTCACAAAGTTGGGAGTCCGAAAAGAATTGAGCGGCCGCACCATTGCAGCAGAGGCAGGCCCTGCCAATCGCTCAACTTTGGAACTTCTGCGAGCTACAGGCTTCGGCACCACCACTGCACGAATCAGCGCGCTCGACTTGCGCGGGCTTCAGTCGGCCGCTCGGGGTTCCTGGAGCAGGCCGCCAGAGCGCGCCATAACACGCGCCAATGCTGCGGTGCATTTACCCCCTCCCACAAGTGGCGGCGCTGGGCCCCTGCTGGCCAGGGCCGGCAGCTTCGCGGCCTCAGCTGACGCTCCCCAAATATGCTGCCGCGCACGCAACACCGTGCACAGCCCCGCCTGGACGGCCCCGGCCGCGCTCAAGCTGCGCGCCGCCGCCCCCTCCATCCCCTTCCTGCCACAAGAGGTACGCCTGCTGCCACCACGCCTGCGGGGCTATATGAAAGACCGCAACGAATGCTGATGCACATCGTGTGGGCATGAGCAGAACTGATTCGTTGCTGGTGCACGGAGGCCCCCAGCGGGCAGTGGCCAGATGGCTGCCGCCGCCGTCACGCGGCGCGCAGCATGTCCTCCAGCAACTCCATGTGCTGCGGCGGTAGCTCCAGGTCCTCACCCCAAGAGGGGTCTAGTAGCAGGTCGCCACAGCCCACACTGCCGGCGCCCACAATGGCCACACCCAGGCCGTCGAGTGACATGGCACTGCCTAGCCGCGCCTGCACCTGACCCTGCGCTGGGCTGAACGCAGGGCTGGAGGCTGGCTTTCTCAAGTGCAGCTGCGGCTGTTGGTGACTGTGCGGCTGCTGCTGCTGCTGCTGCTGCTGCTGCTGCTGCCGCTGTTGTTGCTGCTGCTGTTGGTGCTGCTGCTGGAAGACTGACGGCTGCTGCTGAAATGGATTCTGGGAGGATACACCCACTGGCGATTGGCTGCCCCCGCCATAGCAGGCGGCGCCGCCAAAAGCATACATGCCATCAGTTGTAGCACCGCTGGCGATGCTGCTGCGCTCACGGCCGGTGGCATGCGACAACTGCCCTGAGCCGGAGCCGCCGTCGCTGCCGCCGTCCCCAGCCTTGGACCGCCCATTGTGGTGCTGGCCCGCGGCCGCAGTGCTGGGAGAGCCACCCGCCGAATGCTGAGCTATATTGCGCGGCGTCGGCGCCGCCGACCCGCTATCAGCATAGGCGGGAAGCAGCCCTAGCCCCAGGCCTAGGTTGCTCCGCCCTGCAATGCAGCCGCCGAACAGCGGCGCTGGTGCACTATAGCTGCTGGGCGCAGCATGGGGCGACGCCGAGGGCACCCAGCTGGCGGCGGTTGCACTAGCAGGGCCAAAGGCACCAGCGCCACCCAAGGCAGACATGTCGCGCTCCACGTCTGCAATCGCACCCGTCAGCACGCTGCGCAGCAGCGGGCCGTCGCAACCCGCCCCGGCACCAACGACAGCACCAGTGCCTGCACCGCGCAGTGTGCTCATTGGTGCTGGGGAGGGTGAGGGCGAGGGGCTGCACGTTGCGCCCATCTGCGGCGCTGAATGGACACCCAGATCCAGTGCATGCGGGCGGTGGTTGTTCACATGTGCCTGCTGCTGTTGCCGCTGCTGTTGCTGCTGCTGTTGCTGCTGCTGGTGCTGCTGGTGGTGGTGCTGGTGGTGGTGGTGGTGCTGCTGCTGCTGCTGCTGTTGGTGCTCTGGCTGCTGCTGCTGCTGCTGCTGCTGCTTCTGCAGGCCCAGTGGCAGCTGCAGCGGGGCAGCCGGAGTGCTGACTGCGCTTGCGGCGGCGGTGGTGACCGGCGCGCAGCCTGTGCCGACAGGGGCGGCTGCACCTTTGACGGCGGCGGCGAGGGCGACAGCGTCGTCCAGACTCAGGCTGGCACCTGGGCCTCCGGCGATGAGGGCGTCCATCCATGCACCCGCAGCGGCCATGAGCGAGGGCGACCCTGTAGTGTCGAGGTCCGGCAGCGCCGCGCTGGCGGGGGCGCTCTTGTGGCGTTTGATGCGGCGCCCGGACGAGCGCTGCGTGCCCAAAGCGCCGTCGTCGTCGCCATCACTCAGCAGGTCGCCCAGCGGGGGGTAGCTCGGGCCAAACAGCTCAGGGTCGGGCAGCTCAACACCGCCACCCTGCGCACCCGCGACCGCCGCGAACGGCGAAGCACCCTCGCCGTGCACGCTGTGCAGGGCGGCGCGCGAAGTGCTGATTGTGAGAGACGGGTGTCCGCCAACGCAGAAGGAGTGGCTCTTCACGCCCAGGTTCATCGCCAGCGCCGCGCCTAGCGCACGGCCCTGGGCCTGCGCGTCGGCTGGGGCCGGCAGGGTGTAAGCCACCAGAGAGTCCAGCTCCCCGGAGGGCGGCATGCCGTCCATTCCGGCGCAGTCCCCACCACCGCTGCAGCCGCCATGGCGGGGGCCTCCGACCGAGGACGCCAGGGCGCCGGCTCCGTAGTCGCTGCCGGCGTCGCCATGGCCCACGTCGTAGGCCAGGTGCGGCAGCAGCGGCAGGCCGACCATGGTTAGGGTGGCGGCGGCCGAGGGCGCGTCTGCGCCGAGCTTGCGTTTGGCCTGGCCTGTGTTGCCCGCAGAGCAGGTCGTCGTGGTGGCAGCGGCGACGGTCGAGTAGGTCGGGGCGTAGGACCCGCCAAATGCAGGCATGCCAAAGGCTGGCATGCCGCTGCCGCCCCCCATAGTGGGGATGATGCTGTCTTGGGGGGAGCCTGAGAAGTCAAGGCCGTCGTAGTGGGATGATGAGCAGGCCTGGGGCGATGAGGTCGACCCGTGGTGCTGCGAGTGAATGATGGGGCAAAGCTGAGGAGTGTCAGGAGTGGCAAGGGCGAGGGCAGGTTCAGCAAGTTCGGCATCCAGCGGGGGTTGCGGGCCTTGCTGGTGGTGCGTGTGTGTGTGCGTGTGTGTGCGTGTGTGTGTGCGCGTGTGTGTAGTATGAGCTGGCTGACCCCTGCTGCAATGGGCCTCATCCATCCACCAAACATGCTTCAATTGTCGGCCCACGCATGTTCCGCGTCATCGGCCCACCTGGGCCGCGGTGGCTGCCTCCTTCTGACGCACTTCTGGCGGGGCTTCCCTCAGCAGGTCCTGCAGCGTGAGGCGGCGTTCCAGGTAGGCGTTGCGCACAGAGCCTGAGGGGACCTGTGGCAGGGCAAGGGGTACAAGGGGTGATGTTAATACAGGCTTTGACATGGTGACAGGGAGAAGCTCACGCACAAGGTGCCAATTTTTATGGACTGTGATTTGCCCAGCAGACCGCCAAGCCAGGTCCACACTGCAGTGCATTCTGACCACTTAGTACACACACCCCTCCCTCTCCCCCCGGAAACCATCGCACCTGGCACTTGAGGTAGAGGTTGAAGTAGTTCTTGATGTCGTTGTTGCAGCGCCCAGGAAGCAGGCTGGCTATCAGCGTCCACCGGTTGCCATAGGTGCGCTGGCCCTGTGATGTGGCGGAGGGAAGATGGGCGTACAGCATGTAAATACGCACTGACAGCCTGCATGAGCGACGACGTGAGCGGGACGGCGTGGTTCGGCTGCGTGTTGTGCGAAATGCCGCTGCGGCAGCATTTGCATGAGTCCGCACGCCTGCGCCAACACCCTTGTCCAAGTCCTCCAGCCGCACCTCCACTATGACGGCCACCTCCCACTCTGTCAAGGGGTCGTCGCAGGGGCGCTTGAGCTCCGGGTTGAGAAAGCACCGCCACCTGCAGCGACGCGAGCATAGTATTGAGGCTTGGCTGTGGGACGTCTAGCAGGTAGCGTGCGTGAGTTGCTGGCAGAGCCGGCTGTGAACGAACATTGGCCATCGGTGGCGGGGGTCACCTGAGACTGCAGCTCTTGCTGGTCCGCCCCGGCATCTCAGCCGCAATATCTGGCCAGCTGGCGGTGCCGTAACGGTGCACCAGCTGCCCCAAACGAATGTCCTCCTGCAGGCGGCATTGGCGTTGCGTCCGGACGAGAGGGGGCTGGTGTGTGTGAAATCGCATTTGCTGGGCCCGTTGGGCAGGGTGCTGAGCATGCGGCTTGCGGCACAGCGTCACTGCAATGCCCGGACAATCGTCTGTCTCATTTTCCCATGAGTTCTCAATGTGGGCGTCATGCTGTTGGCGATTCGGCCCGCTCATCCTGGCCTCCGCTGCTGCTGCTGCTGCTGCTGCTGCCCACGCGCCTGTCTTTCGGTGTACTTGCCTACCCGCCCCTACTGCAGCCGGTCGCGCCTACCTCCTGGGTCCACGCCACTCGTTTCTGATATGTCCCACTCAGCTCCCTAAAGCTAGGGCCCTTGGGAGACTTCATGTCAGCGATAGCTGCCAGCGAGTCGTTCAATGGTAAGGTATCGGGCCGTCCCCGCCTTTAGGCGACCTGGCGCCTCAGAACATGAAATCCATCAGGGCCTTTAGACACTTAAGGAGTCCCTTGCCACCAGACACCACGTTGTGCACACCCGCGGGGCGGTAAAGTGCTGCACCGGCCCGATCACCGAGCGTCTGCGCTCGGCTGGTTTTTTGTGGTTATATTACAGGAAATAAAGATCATACAAGCGTCCTCGTCGGACATGGGCCGCGATGTTCGATTGCAGCCTGGCTGTTTTCCGGTCTCGATAAAAGTGGGAAGTGCCACGTTGTGGTGCGCGTCGTAGGCGTGAAATGCAGTCACACACTCTAAATTTGTGTCCTGTCAGGAGTAAGCAAAACATCGCACCATTCCTCCACTGTCCTGTGCCTGGCAGCACACCCACCCACGGTCGGTGCGGCTGCGCCTGTGATGTCCGGCTGCATGACGTTCGCTCAATAGGCTGCTTAAACCTTGATTCTGACTCCATTACTGCTTGCCTCCACCTGGTGTCCATACGCCTGGCTTGAATGATTCACCGCCGCCACCACCGCCTCCGGGGCTTGTGCCCGACGGCCTCGTGCCTGGGCCTGACCCAGGACCACCGCCGGGTCCCGCCCCCTGGTCACTCGCAGCCATGCCACCACCATTGCTACCTCCATCACTGCGCCCAAAACCCTGGTTCTCAAGCTGAGCCGTGAAGCTCTGCAGGTCAGGTCCCGCCGCGCCGTCGCGCCCCAGGCTGGCTGCCCTGAAGCGCCGCTGCGCCTCGCGCGCATCGATCGCAGCGACACGTGCCCGCAGCGCAGCGGCGCGCTCCTCGCCCCGCAGCAGCTCCTCGTCTGTGGGCGGTGTTGAGCGTGTCCTGGTCAGCCATGCGCGCCACTCTGGCTGCAGGCTATGGGGGTTGTACAGAACGTCATTGCCGGGGACCTGGACAACACGGGTGGAAGAGGTGGGGCAGCCAGTGGATGAGGCGCCCCGCGTTTCACGAGGGAAGGTGCGCCGGCGGCAGGCATGCTCCACACCCGAGGCGCCGCTCAGGGGCAAATGCAGGAGCCGCAAGCAGACCAGGTCAGGGCTGCAACACGGAGCTCATCAAACAGAGGGACCGCCGGAGCCACAGTCTATTCTCTCAGCAGCAAGCGAGGGCAGGCCCAGCCGTCTCCTACGGCGGCCCTTGCGCAGCGCACAAGAGCACGACCGCGCAACCCCTGCCGCAACAAGCGTCTCGGGCCCACCTTGACACGACGTTTCTCCACCACCTCTCCCACATCCGTCTTCTCCCGCCACGAGTAATATTTGTTGCCTTCAATTTGATGAGGCAGCGTTTGAAAAGGACATTTCATGCCCTCACAGCTCAATGGGGAAAGGCTGCAGGGCAAAGCACCCATGAAGGCACGGGCCTGCAGCAACGTTGTCAACGCACTGTGCATGGCTGTACGTAAGTCATTCAAGCGCCCACCTGCGCGGTCGATGCCGACTAGCTCTTGACCGAACAGCCGCAACCGCAGAAACTCGACTATGCGCTGCAGCGGGGGCAGGCCTTTTGCCGCCATTTTGTCGCGCCTGCCGCAGCCCTCTCACAAAACCGTGCGTTCTGGAAATCTTGAACACTGTCCCCAGCCAAGCCTCTACATCAGCTGGTGAAGGCAGGTTGAGCCGGTTGTAGACACGCAGCAAAGCGCTGTGACAAGTGGCAGGCGGCACTCGCCCTTTGTAAGGGCACACGCCGTGCTGTTGGGTGCGCTGGGTGTGCAGGCTGCGCGTGTAGAGGGAGTAACTGCGCGACACAATTAAGTTATGCCGTGCGGAGGACTACGCGATCAGGAAATACGTACAGATCACCCAGGGTGGATCTCTTTCTGTGACGCCGTTTATTATGAGGTTGATTTTGCGATCAATCAAGCATTGACCCGTGTATTTTGTAGCACCACCGCCACCTTATCCTTCGACCCGTGCCTGACACGACAGCCCGGGAGCCATGTTGCGCACAGCAAACGCACGCTCCATGCGCACTGTGACGTGCTCAGGTGTGTCCTTATGCGTGGCTCCACAGACTGCCGGCGCGCCGCCCCCTCCATTGGGCGGATGCGTGGTGGGGGCAGGGGCAAGCAAAGAGCACCGCCTACCATGCGGTGCACGGACACAGGATGGCACTGATCGGCATGGTGTGGGGTTGTATGCAATGGAGTGGCCTAAAGTTGCCCGGTGCGGTCCCTCGCCCCTGCCTGTGGACCATCAACCTCTCTGGCACTCTCAAGGCATCGCTGCACTGTGTGCTGCATTCGCACGTCCCAACTGTATTGATACCCTACCGACGCCTGACCGGCGCCTGTGATCCACTGCCTGCATCACCTGCACCTTGTGACCATGCACCCTACAGCGGCGTTCAAGCCAGCACAGCCTTTGTTTTCGAGGGCGGCGGCGGCGTCTGGTGCTGCGGCGGTGGCGGCGTCACTGATGCTGTCGTCTGCGGCGCCGGCTCTGGCCGAATTCCGCCTGCCGCCCATTGACAATGACCCCAACCGCTGCGCACGCGGCTTTGTGGGCAACACCATTGGGCAGGCCAACGCTGTCAGCGACAAGGTGTGGCGCTGACGGTGCTGCGCGCCCCGCCCCTCCTGTGCGCGCCTTTCCATGCCGGCTCTGTCGAGATTGCCCCCGCGGCAGCAGCTGGGACCAACTCATGTAGCTTTCTGCAGCGGACCCCTAGAACTGGTGTGGATCCCTTCCCTATTCACCCCACCCGTCCGTCTTGTCCACCCCCTGCCCCCCAGATCCTCGACCTGCGCAAGTGCGTCTACAAGGGCAAGAACCTGTCGGGCAAGGTGCTGGCGGGGGCGCTGATGTCGGACGCCGATTTCTCAGACACCAACATGCAGGCGCGCGGGGCGCAGATGACATGCGTGGTGGTTGGCTTCCTGGGTTGGCAGGCACCCCAGGCTGCTGCTGCACTTGGACGCCGTCTGCCTCGCTGGCATCGTTGCCACCCTGGGCCGCATTCGCTCGTGCCGGCCTCGACCTCCCATGGGTTATGCGCGCCTCTGGCCTCTCATCCCTCTCTCCATCCCGCATCCACCCGAGCAGGAGGTGGTCCTGACCAAGGCTTACGCGGTGGGGGCGGACCTCTCTGGCGCAGACCTGACCAATGCGGTGGTGGACCGTGTGGACTTCACCAACGCCAACCTGGCCGGCGCGAAGCTCATCAACACCGTCGTTACGGGGGCTACCTTTGAGGGTGAGAGGGTTGGGGCGACAGGCCCCAATGGGTCAGGGCTGGGCCCTGTGGTCGCTGATGTGTTGCTGTGATCGCCAGCGTGGCTGCAAACGTGCACTAAGTCGTCGTTGGCTGGAGAGGCACAGCGAATGCTCAAAGTGAAGGTTTGGTGGTGCTTTCGAGGGTCACGATTATGTTCTCTTCAATGTGCCGAGCTCGCCGGGTCTTGGCGCGGAGCTTTGCATGTGCCTGCTTGCCCATCGATTGCGTCCTGCAGTCAACGGCCCTGTCAGCGCCCTCTAAGCCCAACCTCTGTGACTGTCTGGCTTTGCACAGGTGCCGATTTGACCAACACCAACTTCGAGGATGCGCTCGTTGGCTCCCAAGATGCCAACAAGCTCTGCGCGAACCCCACGCTGGTTGGGGAGAGCAGGGACCAGGTTGGCTGCAAGCAGTAGGGTGCTGGCGGTGCTGACAGTGTACCTCGGTTGAGCACGGCTTTTCTTTTGCCTTGTGCTTTCAATTTTTTGCCCTGCCCAGGCTCAGCGGTTTTTTTGGCCACTGAGCTACTGCAATGCAGCACCTCACATGATGTTTTTGCGCCACACGGTTGAGCCTCAAAACAACTGTTTGGTGTGCCTGCGACACCTCACTTGTCTGTTGTAACAATTCTATCACAATGAACAATACATTTTTGACTCTTCATTGCCAGGCACACCTCTCGGAACCCTGCACAGGGCAGGCCAATGCGAATTACAGGTGCATCGTGCCATGAGGGCGGTCAATGCATAGTGCGTGCAGTACTTGCGGCCTGACTCCTGCAACTCAGGTTGACTAGCGGGGCTGCAGCCCCTCAGTCAGAAAGAGGTGAAGCCATACATGGGGATGTTAAGCACGCTCTGCTTGAAGTGTGGTGTACACAAGGCACTGTATTGGGCGGTGCAGCGACGTCGCACGTTCCCACATGCCTCACTCGCACCTGCCGCATGCAGGATCGAGGGAGTTTGCCATGCCTAGGGCCAACCCCAGTCTCAGCAATCAATGGCTTAAACGGGACGACACATACAACAAATCCATGACCACAAGCGCAGTCATGCTTTCGGAAAACACGGCCAGAGGTAACCCACGCAGTAACAATAACGTATCGTGATACAAAAACTTGCGTACTGACTGCCGCTGCTGCGCCACTTCGCCAGTGCTAAAGACTGCTGCTAGTTCTAGGCGGCTGCCCACCGAACGTACAGGCCACCAGAGATGGCAAACCCCTCTGTAATCAGCTAACCAGGCCTGCAAGCTCAGCGGCCCGCACAGCTGAGTCCCGCTTGCTGCATGCCCCATCCGCCGCTTCAACAAGCTGGGGGCGTGCCTCTGGCGTCTAGATGCGCTCCACCTTGCTGGCCTGGACCAGGGGGTTGTTCGCCGCCAGCTTCTCGCGCTCTGCCGTCTTGTAGTCTTCTCATGGGGCGATCCAGGGTGGGCAGCAGGGTGGGCAGCAGGCAGGGAAGGTCAGGCACAGCGCGTGGATACGGACGCAAACATGAGTGCCCCATCTTTTCTACATGGCAAGCACCGTTGTATGCTGCCAAAAAAATTCATGCAACTCACACAAACCCGACCTCAGGCTCACCGAAAGTACAGCTGTGCGCCTCGGCATACCGGTGCTGACTGCAGAAAAGCATGCCGCACTTGCACGAGAATCCTGTCAAGCCAACTTTCTTCCGGCACTGCTGGCACCTGGAAGACAAACACAAGTTCAGCGCCAGCATGGACGCCTCACTGATGACGTAGAGCAGGAGGCAGCAGGCCCCCCCATGGGGTCCACAGGCACATGACCGCAAGGCCCTTTTCAACCAAGCTGTCAGGACAGCAGCCGCTCTCCCTGCGCTAGCTGCTGCGATGGCGCTGTCGTCAACCCAAAGCACGTGGGCCAGGCCCATGTACATACGCACCTGTTGGGCTTGCAAGGTGAGCTTGGAGACGCGGCGTTGGCCACTGTGGCCACGGGGGCGCTGCTGCTGCCCTCTTCCGCGGTAGGAGTGGAGGCCCGAGCAATCTCAATGGCTGCAGTCGGGGCGGCGGCCGCAGCAGGCACGGGCGCAGGCGCCTCCACCACGGGTGCATGCTGCGCCTCAGCTGACGCCGCCAGGGCTGCCTTGGCCTTGTCCTGCGACGCCTGCTCCTCGCGGAAGCACTTGGAGCACATGCCATTCGTCGCGGCGTTGCTGAGGTGGGTAAAGGCAGCACGGGGGTACGACTGGGTTATAGACAGCACCTCGTTCCTTAGTCCACGAAGGAGGGCCATAGGCCCGTGCCTCGAGGCGATTTTTATCAGTAAAGACACGGGGTGCTCGCCACGACACAAAAGATTGCTGTTGTTCCCAGAGTGCGGGCTGCGAGCGAGCAGCAGGGCGAGCAGGAGGGCGGAAGGAAGCACGAAGCACCCTACGCCCGCCCCAAAGCGCTGCAGGCATGCCCGATACATGGGCATGCGCGTGAAAGCGTCTCAGGCGCCAGCAGTGTGAGTCCAGGGGGCCGCGCTGGGCCAGGCACATTGCCCCCCGGCCAGAGCTTGCCAGCACGACCTGACCCCGCGCCGGCTCCTTGCCTGAAAAAGCCGCATCCCATGATGCAAAGCCGCGGCGCGTCCTGAGGTGCGTCTTGCGAGGCCATCGACACGGGCTGCTGAAAGTCTGGAGTGATGTTGGAAGTAGCTAGAACGAGCCACGCGGGGTTCAAAGTTGATTGCCAGGATGTACTTTTGGTTCTGTGGATGCGTGAAGTACGAACTTGAATCCTCCTCACTGATGATAGAACACAGGCTGAAACTCTGCCTGCCTCATTCTCTTCCAATGTCGATATGGGCGTAGGCCTGTATGAATAACATCATGTGGCAGTAATTTTGCTATGGAAGGCCAGCGCCAGTTGCCTTCTCCGCAGGCCCGGGTCGGGTTGGTTGCAGGCTTGCGGGCGCACAGGTGGCCCCGCATCAGCCTGCGCGCCCTGCAAGCCGCTGCTCCTCCTCCGCACGGCCAAGCTCCGCAAAAAAGGAACAAAGCAGGTCCGCGTACCCCTCCCTGGACAGAAATGGGGTCCAGCGGGGGCATGTCGGGACGCAGGAGTGGTGCTTCGTGTGAATGGCCCAGACATGAAGCATGCTCGTGTCATATGCATCCCTGAGCAACCCAGATGAGCCATGGGCCCACCTGGCTCATGGCCAGGTGGGCCTGCGTGCAAGCACGCCACAGCACCCTTGCACCCTCAACTAACCCCAACCACCTCAGCAGCACCACCCCATTCGACCTTGGCTTGCCCCCGCCAACCCACCTGTCGTAGGCTCCATTGAAGTTGTTGGCGCTGATGTTCATCTCCAGCAGGCACGGCTCTCCCTCCGCAGGCAGCGCCACATCCCACCCGATCAGTGGCACGGCTGGCGCCAACAATGCGTGCGCCTGTAGCGCCAGGCTGGCCACTGACGCCCACCAGTCGGGTATCACCTGGCCTGAGGGGGGGAGGAGGTGTGCCCCAGCGCCGGTCTTGATAAGTTCATGCAGCTATGCAGGGGCCCACCCTGGCATTCACACAGAACTTGGCCCCCGCAGCGCTCAACAGCTGACCTGCTGCGCAGCCCTTGCACACCCGCTGGTTGACAAGCCACCGTGCGTCACGCCGACCTGCCACGAGGTGCCCGCTCTGGGGGTGCTCCTCCCAGGTGGCGCTGGCACTGGCGGGTATGCGCATCACGTGGCGCCATCCAAGGTTGTACCAGTGATTGGCAGTGACGCCGCAGCCCAGCTCTCCGGCGTCATCCACCGGGAAGCAGATGCTGGGACGAGGAGGGGGGATCGGCGGGGCGGAAAGGAGGGGGCAGGGAGCAACTCGTTCTGAGCGAGCCAAGCTGCATCACATGAATAAAAATACCCTGGTTGCCGCAAATCCCCCTTGCAGCTGAGGCAAGACGCAGCAGCATGTGTGACGGCCCTGCTGCCAACGACATGGCCCACACGTGCACCCCTCACCTGACGTGGTCTGTCTTGGCGCCGGCAAGGCCAGCCCTGAAGACGCTCGTCAAGACCTCTATGGACCGCTCGTACATTGCACTGCTGCTGCTGCTGGTTGCACCACTGCGGCCTGTGGGGCTGTGCCACCCTGCGCCACCGCTGCCGTCGTCGCTGTTCAGCAGCCGTGGTGTACCGCCTGCCTGCTGCACTGACGTGCTCACCGGCAGTGGCGGGCTGCGGCTGGCACGACTCCGACGTCCTGCCAGCAGTGAACGAATGCCGGGGCTGGGGCTACGCGACACGATGCGCCGTGCGCCGGGGCTGGGGCTTGGGCTGCGGCGCCAGGGCGGTGGCGTGTGGATGTCCTGCGGTAGCGGCGATAGCTGCAGCTTCGCAAGCTGGCCGTGCCGGCGGCCGGAGTCGCCGCCAGTTGGCACGTGCCCGCCTGGCCCGGCGGCCCCTTGGGCCTTCCCCCCTGGCGCTGCTGGCGCCGCCGCTGCTTGAGGCCCCGCGCCTGCCGCCACCGCTGCCGCTGCCAACGCCGCAGAGGTCAGCGCCGTGGCGCCCTGCCGCTGCGCCTCGCGATCTTCCAGCCACACGACAGAGGCGGTGACCACCCTGCGGCAGGTGGGCGCAGGCGGCGAGGCGGTAAAAGCGAGGGCCGTGGAAGCGTGCAGCGAGGGCCTTGTGGCAAAGCGGAGAGGCTTGCCATTGAAGGCAGCCTTGTGGGGCCAACTGTGTCCAGCCGGGCCTGCGGGGCCGACCTGAAGGTGGAGAGGGGCGCGCCACGAGGCAGCATGCGTGCGAGGCATGGGGCGTTGTCCAGCGCCTCTGACACGATCCAGTCCCCTCCTGCTGTGAAGTTGTCAAAAACATGGATGCCCTGTGGGTTGGCAGAGGCAGGATGGCGATGGGGAGGTCAACGGCGTGCGGGATGCACGCACAACTGCACGCATGAAAAACACACGTGCGTGCATGCAGATAAACCTCCACACAATGAGCATGCAGAATCCCACAACCTCCAGGGCGCAGGCCCCCACCTGACCGCCCTCGATGCTGCGGTGCTTCACAAACACGCGCGGTGCCTTGACAAAGGGCGCCACAGGCAGGCCTAGCCGGTCCGCCTCCAGCAGGAAGGGCGCCTTGTCCTCTAGCGCGTAGTCACGCGCACTGCCGCCAACCGCCGCGTGCCACGCCACCAGCACACAATTCAGCCGCCAGGTGGCAAACCAATGAGAGGGCGCCAGCAGCAGCCCGCGGTAGCGGCCCGCCACCTTGCCCAGCCAGCTGCCTCTGGCGCTGCCGCCCTCCGCGGCATACACGGCGCCCAGCAGGCAGGCGATGGGATTGACCACCAGCATGAAGAGCAGTGCCAGCCACCAGGACGCGCAGAACCAGCTGAGAGGGACGCCTGATGGATTGTTGCGGGTGAACAGAGGGCCATTGCTGTCGTCGTGCCATTGGCTTTGATGTCACTTTGATCAACAAAGGGTTTCTGACTCGGCACGCTACCGCCACTGCACTGCCCAGGCCAGAGTCGGCCTGTGTTGTGATGGGCAAGCGTGCACACGCGCAGCCTGCCCTCCGCACCCGTGCCGGGTATGGCGACATTGCGCAGGTTGGCGCGCATGTCGGCCCCAAACGTTGGTGCGCGGTAGTGCGGCACGGCCCACAGCTGCAGCGTCTTGGCCAGCGAGTACACGTGCACCAGCGCCGCAGTGTCGTGCTGCAGCAGCGGGCAGCCCTCTATGTTGCAGCGCGTGGCCAGGCAGTACAGCAGCGCGCCGTAGTACTCAGCCGTGGCGCGCAGCACACCAGCCACTGCTGCAGCCATGTCTGCTCAGATGCGCTGTTTATACTGAAGAGCCCACCGGGCCAAATGACTATGAAAGCCGTTGCTCTAGCTCTTGCAACAGGTCTTCCTTGCGGGGGTGCTGCTGCTGCGCGTGGATCACTGCCTGTAAAGCAGCGGGTGCGCCATTACTGCATGGCAACCGCAAGGCACACTTGCGCATTTTGCAGCCTTGCTGCAATGCATCATGGAGCGGTGTAGAATCGATTGAGAGCTTTGGTATCGCCGAGGGGCTCTCCTCTTCCATATATTGAACGCGAGTACGGTAAATGCAGGATCTGACAGGAAGCTGCTGCCCCTGCTTGATCGGATCCCTGCAGAGCCAGCGCAGTGTCTTGTAGGATAATGCAGTGGTGACATCTAGCGGCCTGACTGGCTTCAACCAGCGCGGAGATCTCAGTGTACCTGGTTGCTCTCTTACACAAGGCGCAGGTGCGCGTGACACACCAGTAGACGTCCGGATTGACTGTATTCACCAGTCGTATGCACCTGTTTTGGCGGGAGATGCAGGTGTTGGCGATGCCATCGGCCGCCGATCGCAGCGCTTGCAGCAGGCTTGCTGCTGGAAGCATTGCTTCTCAGGGATAAAGATGGGCTCGCTGTCGCACTGCAAGTGGTTCCAATCACCATGCAGGTTGAGGCAGCTTAATTGCAGGTGCACCTGCACGTTCCTGCTTACAGCAACGCCACCCCCGCCTTGTCTCTCTCGGTCCCCTCAGCGGCTGGCCGCAGTCATACTTGCCGACCGGCAGCCATGGCGTGGTCCCTGAGTGACAAGGAGCGAGCCGGCACGGCGGCGCGCATAGCAGCCAACATAAGCACGCTAGCATTCTTTCGCGGTCGTGAATTCAGCGATGCCGACGCGCAGGAGATCGCCGCAGCAATTGAGAAGAAGGCCTACACCGCCGCGCTGGTCGCAGCGCGCACCACCACGGGCGACAGGCCTGCGGCGGAGATCACCTCCGGCTACATCAGGTGACCAGTGGTGCTGGACAGTTGCTGGCTTGGTCGGCGGCCCTGTGCGAAGCATGTGGCAATCTGACACGACAGCGGTAACCAGCACATGTGAACAGTGCCAGTGACATGGCTGGTGGGCCATCAATCGCAGCTGGCAACTGCTGGAGCAAGTAGACAGCAGCAATTTGGAAAAACGCTGACTGCTGACCCTGTTGCTGCTCCGCGGCACAGGAAGCTGGCCGAGCTGGTGCTGGAGGCAGTCAAGCAGGGCATCACTAAAGCCGACGCTGCGCCCTCCGCGGCGGGAAGCGGCGAGGTGACCACCCCTGGCGCCATAGCACATGACGGTGGTTCATCCTCCGCAATCAATCGCACCTATCACACACTCAACCGGCACCGATACTCTGCAATGCAAAAAAACCACTACATACACGCATGTCCGCGCGCATACACGCACGAACGTGTGCACCCACGCGCGCGCACACACACACACACACACACACACTCGCTGACACACACCACAGGAGCACGACCTGTTTGGTTCGCGCGACTTCCTGGACGCTGAGAGCGCAGAGAAGGCGCTGGCTCCGCTGCTGGCTGCAAGAGCCGCGATCAAAAAGGTGAGTCCGACCTGCTGAACAGCAGCGCACCTAAGCCATGCTGCACGAACACCTGCACTGCCTTTGCGACAGTGGAGGCCGCAAGCCTTAAGACTTGTGCCAGATCAGCTCTGTCGTATGCAGTGTGTCAGTTGCGCTGCAGCCTGCTGAACGGCCAGGCTGCGTTGCGCGTCACCTGCCTGCGTTGCATGCGCCCCTTTTCCCCCAAAGGTGCGCTTCAGCACCAAGAGCTTTGGCCGCGACGCCGCCGGGGTGGCTGCGCGCGCCCTGCGGTCTGTGGCTCATGTGCTGGAGCACGCGGACATGAGTGACATCATTGCGGGCCGTGCGGTGGGTTGTTGGATTGTTGTGTAGATGAGGCGGGATGCCGCAGTTGTGGCGG